CACAGGTATCCATGTAGTAAGGTACAATCAAATAAACGATAACTGATTTAATGAGCCATTCGCAGTTTCACAGTACAAGTGCTTATACTTAGACATGCATGGCTTAATCTTTGAGACAAGCATATGACTACTGGCAGGATCAACCAGGTAACTAAAGCCTACAGGGCGCGGAGCGACAAGCCGGCTCGCTCCTACCCTTCACACCGCAAGCGACGGAGCAGACAGCCAAGGAACACAACGAGTCTCTTAAACGTGTGAACCTAACCTCTATCATGCAAACCATCGCGTTCGCCTTTGACAATATATACGACAACATATACAGTTTGCCTGTCAATGGCAATTCTGCCCTCTATACAGCGATATCTCTATAAACATAGACACAATAGCCATACAAGAGCTGAACAGAGCTACTTGATTCGCTCTAGCCGCTTCACAACAATATAAGTGCAAGCAAGCACAACCCGAAAGCCAAACTACACATTTGAAGGAAATTCCAACATTCAAGCCGAATCCTTCATAGGACTTTACAAGCCCTTTCACTACCAACTATAACCCAACAGACACAAGCACAGCCACTTGCAAGTTTCAACTCTATACTGCGTGAAACAGATCAACACAATGTACAAAGAGAAGCTCTTGCTAACCCACTGGATAAAGCGGATACACGCACACCTTACCCTGAGCGCTTAGAATCGAAAATATCGGAAAAAAAAAATTTTTTTTTTTTCGGAAGTTTTTTTCGACTTCAACACTCTCTATATATATGGAGAGTTATTTGGGGGAAAGTTTAAACGCGATTTTTACTTAAAAAAAGTTGCGTAAAAATGACAAAGTCCAAAATTTTGAAAAAATTTCAAAGTCGAAAAAAAAAAAAAATTTTTTTTATTTCTTAGAGACTGATGATTGTCTGACAATTTTATTGATAAAAAAAATTTTTTTTTTAGACTCTGACCCATATTAGACCCTCTAGCAGTGGCGAGTACGAAGAAAACAGTGCGTAAACCTGATAAACGACGAGAAGATTGATCGTCTTGATGCTTTAACCGTACTAGATAGTTTTTTATATCACTGGGAGTAGTTTCTAACTATAGAGAGCTCTAAAAACAATCTCTAACATGTTCGTATGATAGCGAAACACCTAGTTTTGCCCTTAGAGTTGCTGTTGAGGCTAGGAAAGAACAGCAAAAAGTGAAAAACTTGAGTGTGAATGGTGTTTGTTTTTATTGCGCTAGCTTGCCTAGGTGGTAGCTCATAAAAAAATGAGTGTGTGGACCTTTCTCACTTCATCTAGACTGATTTTCACTCAGTTAAGTGGTGCCAAAGGCCTCGCGGAGTGCTGTGGAGACCACCAAAATGTGAAAAACGGATAAGAGTGAACAAGCTGGACAAGTTGAGTGCATTTTTTCTGTTCAATTCGTCGAGATAGTGGTTGGCACTAGCATTTTATGCGAAAAGCTTCTAAAAACAATCTCTAACATGTTCGTATGATAGCGAAACACCTAGTTTTGCCCTTAGAGTTGCTGTTGAGGCTAGGAAAGAACAGCAAAAAGTGAAAAACTTGAGTGTGAATGGTGTTTGTTTTTATTGCGCTAGCTTGCCTAGGTGGTAGCTCATAAAAAAATGAGTGTGTGGACCTTTCTCACTTCATCTAGACTGATTTTCACTCAGTTAAGTGGTGCCAAAGGCCTCGCGGAGTGCTGTGGAGACCACCAAAATGTGAAAAACGGATAAGAGTGAACAAGCTGGACAAGTTGAGTGCATTTTTTCTGTTCAATTCGTCGAGATAGTGGTTGGCACTAGCATTTTATGCGAAAAGCTTCTAAAAACAATCTCTAACATGTTCGTATGATAGCGAAACACCTAGTTTTGCCCTTAGAGTTGCTGTTGAGGCTAGGAAAGAACAGCAAAAAGTGAAAAACTTGAGTGTGAATGGTGTTTGTTTTTATTGCGCTAGCTTGCCTAGGTGGTAGCTCATAAAAAAATGAGTGTGTGGACCTTTCTCACTTCATCTAGACTGATTTTCACTCAGTTAAGTGGTGCCAAAGGCCTCGCGGAGTGCTGTGGAGACCACCAAAATGTGAAAAACGGATAAGAGTGAACAAGCTGGACAAGTTGAGTGCATTTTTTCTGTTCAATTCGTCGAGATAGTGATTGGCACTAGCATTTTATGCGAAAAGCTTCTAAAAACAATCTCTAACATGTTCGTATGATAGCGAAACACCTAGTTTTGCCCTTAGAGTTGCTGTTGAGGCTAGGAAAGAACAGCAAAAAGTGAAAAACTTGAGTGTGAATGGTGTTTGTTTTTATTGCGCTAGCTTGCCTAGGTGGTAGCTCATAAAAAAATGAGTGTGTGGACCTTTCTCACTTCATCTAGACTGATTTTCACTCAGTTAAGTGGTGCCAAAGGCCTCGCGGAGTGCTGTGGAGACCACCAAAATGTGAAAAACGGATAAGAGTGAACAAGCTGGACAAGTTGAGTGCATTTTTTCTGTTCAATTCGTCGAGATAGTGGTTGGCACTAGCATTTTATGCGAAAAGCTTCTAAAAACAATCTCTAACATGTTCGTATGATAGCGAAACACCTAGTTTTGCCCTTAGAGTTGCTGTTGAGGCTAGGAAAGAACAGCAAAAAGTGAAAAACTTGAGTGTGAATGGTGTTTGTTTTTATTGCGCTAGCTTGCCTAGGTGGTAGCTCATAAAAAAATGAGTGTGTGGACCTTTCTCACTTCATCTAGACTGATTTTCACTCAGTTAAGTGGTGCCAAAGGCCTCGCGGAGTGCTGTGGAGACCACCAAAATGTGAAAAACGGATAAGAGTGAACAAGCTGGACAAGTTGAGTGCATTTTTTCTGTTCAATTCGTCGAGATAGTGGTTGGCACTAGCATTTTATGCGAAAAGCTTCTAAAAACAATCTCTAACATGTTCGTATGATAGCGAAACACCTAGTTTTGCCCTTAGAGTTGCTGTTGAGGCT